CCACGTAAGTCCACGGTGCCAGGCAGGCAGAGGGACTCTGGGCCTGGGCAAAGTGCAGAGTCTGTGGTGTCCCCCCAACCACGCCAGCCCCAGCACCCTTTGCCACCCTGTGTGTGAGGGTATTATGTAAGCCAGGCATGGTTCAGACCCTGCCTCTGAGCTCTTTCTGGGACCCCAGGGTGCTGTTTATCTCAGTCTGCTGACGCTGTGCCGGGATGGGTGGCTTGTCAAGGTGACCCTCTTGTCCTGACCGCTGTTTCCCGGACGTGTACACACACACACACACACACACACACACACACACACGAGTCTTCTGGTGCTCAGTCCAAGCTGGGTCCCCTCCCTCAGGGCTTGGGACCCAGGTGGCCCGGTGGTGGCCTGTGTGTGGACGGAGGTTGGGCTTCACGTTCCGCAGGTTGAAACCTGTCCTCCTCCCTCTTTAGTAAGCGACTCTCGCAGCCTGCTGGAGGCCTTCTGGATTCTATCACTAATATCTTTGGGTAGGTTAGAGCACCCCTGTCTCTGCGTCTGTGTCGCCGTCCCCAGCCAGCGTCCACGGTCCAACAGTTCACAGACGCCCCGAGCGTCCAGGCGCAAGCGCCTCATTCTCAGCTTCTCTCCCCTGCCCGACGTCCTCCTCCCCCTTGCTGGGTGCTGACCTCTGGCCTTTCCCTATAGTCTGTCCGACTCTCCCCTCTCGGGACATCACTCTTCTTCCGATGCTGCCAGGTGAAAACCACTCTGTCTCCGCCCAGCATGTGGGTGTGGCTCCGGGCACCGCTGGGCACCCTGCTCCTCGCGCCCGCTCGCTCGCTCGCCCGCCTGCCTGCCCTCTGGATGCTTTGCATGCAGCGCAGGCCGTGGGCTGCACGTTGAGTGGGGTCACGCCATGGCTGCCCTTCCTTCTGGCCTGCCCCTGACCCCACCCTGACCACGTTTCTGACACAGAGCGGGGCTTGGTGCACCCAGGCCAACCCCCACGGCCCCCCACCCCCACCCCACAGCCCTGAGTGTGTCGACCAGGGGAGCCTTGTACCTGGCTCCTACTGAGTTTGGCAGACTGTCCTGGCATGAAGAGCCCTCCAGGGATAGCAACCAGTGAGGGGCCATCTGCTTGTGCCAGGCTGTGCAACCCCTCCTGCCAGCTGACGCCCGGCCCTGGCAGCCCAGCCTCACCGTCTGTGTCCCTCCTCAGGCGGCGCTCCATCTCCTCCCCTCCCGTGCCCCAAGATGGTGTGGATGTGCACCCCAGCTCCAGCAAAGACGTGAGGGTGCCCACCACCGCGCTGTGCATCTTTGTAAGTGCCTGGCCCACCCCCACCGTTGTGAAGCTGCACACAGGTCCATGATGATGAGTAAAAGGGCTGACTGCACCGGCAGCCCCGTCCCTCCTCGCCCTGGGCTCCCAGCAGCCCGCAGCCCGCCAGGCACGCTGAGTCGTGTGCCTGGTCCCGCGGGCTGCTGACAGTGCAGGATGGCTTCAGGTGTGTTTCTGCGAGCTCCAGGCTCACAGCTGATCAGGTCCAACAGCAGCCTTGCTTTTGAAGGAGCCGCGGGAGGGCAGGAGGGCGAGGCGGTGCGTGATCTCAAGTTTTCAATCTGAGACCTCAGTAGAGAGCCAGGAGAGTGTGGGGCGGCGGGCCCCTCCCTGTTGGCCACCAGCTGCTCCTGCTCTGTCCCAAGGGGAAAGGAAAACCCGCCACACCGGCACCGGTGTGGACTCCGTTCTCACACCTGGCGGGCCACCCACCTGTCTTACAGGATGCCCACGACGGGGAGGTAAACGCCGTGCAGTTCAGCCCCGGCTCCCGGATGCTGGCCACTGGTGGCATGGACCGCAGGGTCAAACTCTGGGAAGTGTTCTCAGGTGAGGGCCACTCCTGTCGGGAGGGCATGTTGTGTGTGGGGTGACTGAACCCTACTGCCACCTCAGCGTCACGGGGGGGCTGGAAATGCTAGGTGATGAGGTGTTGGGGTTGAAGACCTCACCAGAGGCTGGCGCCTTGGGCCTGACGCTGTCCCCCAGGGCCTGTGGGCAAAGCCCACCGAGGGCAGCGGGTTTGATGTGGGCACAAGAATCAGAACTTCTCCCATCGTGGCACTGCTTTTCAAAGGAAGGTAAAGCTCTTGGAGGGTTTTGTCATTCACCTGTGCAAGGGGCAGTTAATGGTGGCTGAAGCCATGTCGGGGAGAGGGGGACAGGTGGTCATGGTCGTATCTGAGCCTAAGTGAGGCGTGTCCCCAGATCAGAGCTTCTCGCTGGCCACAGGATGGGGGTGATGGAGACCGAGGACAGACGGGATATCGCTGTGCGGTGGGTGTGGAAAAGGCTGACTTACGGGGGTTGCCGGTCGTTGTACCACAGTAAGAAGTACACAGACGTCTGATGTGGGTGTGGAAACGCCAGGCTAACGTAGCGCTGGCGCCGCAGGCACTGGTCTGAGGAAAGGAAAAGACGGCCGTGTCCCGAGAGTAGAAGTCTTCACCAGGTTCAGTTTTTCAGGTCCAGGCAAGTAGTGCACGCGGTGGCGCTGAGACTTACTGGAAGGAATGCTGTGGATACGGATGGCCTTTGTGTTGTTGGCAAAGAAGACACAGTAGCTCACACGTGCTCCCTGACAGGCGGCTCTGTGAGAGTCTCTGCCAGGGTCCCGAGGTCACAGTGTGCGTGCGCTGGCACGCCGTCCTTACTCCGGGCCTCTCCAGGGACGGCGTGTCACCCTGCCGTGCATCCTTGGCTCGGTCCAGGGTGGTCAGAGAAAGGGCAGCTTCTGCTCGCTCAGTGAGACACTCCTCCATCTGCTCAAAGCAAGAAGCCGCTCCTGCTTGGCCGTCTTCACGGTCCCTTGTGACCAGACCGTCTGGCTTTCTCTAACTGCCTCTTTCCTCAGCCCTTTTCCTTTTCCGCAGACAAATGCGAGCTCCAGGGCTCCCTGTCTGGCAGCAATGCCGGGATCACGAGCATCGAGTTCGACAGTGCCGTAAGTACCTTGGAGGCTGGCAGATCGTTGGTTTCTTTAGAAACAAATTGGCCATCTGCTTCTTGACTTTGGCTAGTCACTGAGCTAACCTCTTGGCTGGCTTTTGTGCAGTTGAGGGAGTGGTCAGTCACTGTCAGGAGGTCATGCTGGGGGCACACCCTGCTATGGACAGGAGTCAGTGACCAAAGGAGGCCAGTCGGGGGTGCCTGAGCATTGACTCAGAAAGCGGAGGGAGGACACTGCAGGTGGCCGTGCAGTGAGGAACATGTGGGTAGTGGTGGGCCCAGGTGTCTCCTGTCATTCTTGGGGGCCCTTCTGGGCACCTGGGGCTGCCGTAGCTCCTGCTGGTACCAGGCTGAGAGCGGGGGTCTGGATGTTAGCCATCGCCATCCCCAGCACGGGGCCCTGAATTTCAGTGGGAGGTGATGGTGGAAAGTGGCTTGTCCTGCCGAAGAGTGTGGACCAGGGGAAGCGTTTAGGGCCGTGGTCCTGCAGCCCGAGCAAGGGGGTTCTGACTGGGCTGTCTGGGATCCACTGCTCATGGAGACCCCGGATTTTGGGGGCAGGGGCAGGTGAGGGGGAAATGTTACTACAGAGATCTTCCCTTTGTCCCTATAGGGATCTTACCTCTTAGCAGCGTCCAATGATTTTGCCAGCAGGATCTGGACGGTGGATGACTACCGGTTGCGGGTAAGTCCTCGTGCCAAGAGCCAGGCTGTGCGTGGCTACCGGGACGCAGAGCACAGGCAGCAGGGCTTCCTGGAGCCACTCTGGGTTCACCGCAGCCTCTCCTCCCCCGGGGGAGTTCCCACCTCGTTTGCCCAGGGCTCTGTGCGAAAACACTGGCAATGTGACTTCACACTTCCCGAAGGTCCTGAGGTGCTCTGTTCATAAGATTGAGTCAGTCCGGCTTGTGGGGTTTCCTTTGCTGGGGAGATTTTATTAACCCCCAGTTATAGGCTATAGGAAGGAGCACCCGTTCCCTGGGCTGGCCTGAGTTACCTGGGACGCTGCTGCGGCGTGAGCGGCCCGTCAAGCTCCCTTCACCCTCCATGCTCCGTAAGAGCCCTCCTTTCCTCGTTGAGAGGGTCGGGAAGGAGCACGCAGAGGCCGAGGCTGCGCAAGGCCAGCCACACCTTGTCCAGGGCCCTCTGCGTGGCCCAGGGAGTGGTGTCACTTGGTGCTTCCTCCCAGAAGGATCGCTGTGGGAAGGTGGGATGTCACAGCGATAGCGTTAAGCGCCACTCGGGAATTGGCATGGTGGCGCTGTGGGGAATCACTGTGCAGCTGCCCGCCTGGACAAAGATTGTGTGCCTGGAAACCCTGCCCAGGGTCGCTGAGAGTCAGGACAGACCCGATGGCAGTGAACTGTGCACATGTCTCCCTCCGGCAGA